GTAGACATTGAAGGAGTTGTTGTAGTAAGATTCAACAATAAAAGGATTAGTGGTATTGAGGAGTGACTTGGTCATGTTCTCTCCATTTCCTCCATTTTCATTCACATTGATGACCACGTTAGTGGCATTTTCATCATTATAGTTTGGCATTGATAAAGGTTGAGAAGTTGTGGTAATTGAGGATGCAAACCGAGCACTGGTCTCCATCATCCGTTTATTGTTTTCTTCCAAGACTTGCATCCTTTCTTGGGAAGCTTGGAGCATTTTCATGAGCTCCTTGACATAAGTAAAGACAAGTATTTCTTGGTTGTCTAGAGAACTTACCATATCTTCTAACAAAAATTTTTTTGATAACTTCCACTTACTGCAATCACTCCTCCCTAGTGGAATCGTTAAAAGGTAGACGGTTCTTTTGGTAGGGAGAAAGGACATGCTACAATGAGTGAATTGAAATGCACTAAAGGCAATAGATAGAAAGATTGGAGTAGTCCTTAAAGTGTAAATACTTTGATGAAAGGTGGCAAGGGATAAAAAACCGTGAAAGAAGTGACGAATTACAACGAATTTGAAAGGCTAAATAGAAAGAATGTTTGGAGGAGTCTCAAAAGAGCTTTTAAGATAATTTTTGTTGGGTTTCTAATAATTTCTCTCCTCCAACCTCCAACACTCTTATATTTATCCGGAACAAGAACACTTTTTTTTCTTAAGTGTAATTGAGAGAACACATTCAATCATGGAGAATGTGTTTGCAATAGAAAAGCACATTAAAGAACAGCTTATTGGATATGAAGCTCAATCATAAGAAAACGTGCTTATCATGGACGAACATGTCAACGAATGACTTGTGGGATATTAAGAAAATGATCATGTAATTGAGTAATGGGCATTAGTTTTGAGTAGTGAAGTAGTGACATTTGATAGTGCACCACATGTACTCTTAAGGAAGAAAATAAATGATAAAGTACATGTACTTTAAGAAAAAATTTAAAAGAAATTCTCTTAACTATCTCCAAACCTGAACCATCAAGCCAAGTTCTCTAAAACATCCCAAATGTGAAAGTAACTCATGAACCCTATCACTTTTTCTAAATTACATTCACTTTTCCATAACAATAATTGTTCCATGATTGTTCTTAGGTGTTTCCATGCTCGGAACACTCATGCCACTGGTGTGCTTAGAACGCCCCTAGGAACTTTCGCGCTGGGAACGCACCTAGACGTTTCCATGATTGAAACTCCCCTGAGCGTTTCTGCGCTTGTAACAACACCAAGCGCTTATGTACTAGAACGCCCATAATGTAATTTTTTCTGTAACACTACTTCAGAAATAATAGTTAACCAAAATTAAGCATCTACAGTAATTATTTCAATCAACTAAACCTCTTGTTTCTCAATTACCACCTCAATCTTTCTACTATCACCATGGATTGATTTACAACTTCGTCCATGCAACGCAACAACCACATCAAGAGTACTTTAGATATTCTTGAAGATCATTTCTTGTTTCATTTAACATTCCCAGTCATTATTTATTTATAAAATAATTATTCTTGACACTAACATAACAATTAACAATTCCAAGTCGTTCTCGGCACTATCAATACCAACTAAACCAAAATCCTCACATGATTAAATTTTGGCAAAAGTATACCATGCCACATGGAAGCAAAAACCATGTAAAGAAATCAAAAAAGTAAAACCTCCAACCAAAACATACTTAAGCAGAACAAATGTAGCCAAACTAAGAAATTAAAAATAGGTCAAATCCACACACAAGAAAAAAATTGATCTCACGTATTACCTCGAATGAAGACATCAAATGAATTACTATAAAGGGAATTATCATAGCAAGGCATGGTGTAGAATGGCCTTACAGCCAAAGGATAGCGATGCAGAATATAGAATTCAGTGCCGTACCTACGATAAACAGTATAATTTTAGTTCCTTCTCACAATTATACAAAATTTAAAAATTAAAATATCACATTCAGTCAAAAGAAAAGAAAAAGAAACAAAGGAGTGATGGACAAAAGTGTAAGGGACAAGAAATAAGTGAAAGTAATATATTACTTCTCCAAAACTAGCTGGCCCAATTTTCTTTCTGCTTCTGTATTTAAGTCCCCAAGAGGATCAACTTCCACACCAGCATCCTGAACAAACACACAAAAGTTTGAGAGAAGGTAAAGTACCCTCTGAGAAGATACAACCAAAACCAGCTTAAAAATGGCATGCCCATTTCATAAGATACAACGGATCTATAAATAATACTTGGTGTCCCATTAAAGCAAAACAACTTAACCAAGCTACTTTCATCTGCCTCTTAATACTCTTTTTTATGGTCATTCTAATTTATTTTTATTGTACATGTGTTTTAGGTTACCAGAATCATTTATTTCACCTATTCCCTTTGTGACATGATTACCAATAAAAAAGCAAAAAATATAGCAACATGCGACTTAAATTTAAATAACAACAGAGATTTAAGATTACCTTCAGCATCTGAACTCCTTCTTCAAATGTAAGTCGCAGGGTATTTGGCTTGTACTGCACATTTATAAATGTTAACAATAGAATATCGATTCAAATCAAAGTGATTAACATTGCTACGTTTCTATCTATTCCACTTATTTTTAACAGACTAATACAAGTATATTTATTAATTCCAAAAGATACAAACACTTAATAGCAATACAAGCATAGTAATCCTGAAAAGTGGAAAAAGACCTTCAAAGGTTCAAAGGGATACTGCCTCGCCACAGCTTCAAGTTCCTTCTCACACCTCTCATTCAAACTATCAAACATTATAACAAATAATCGGTCCACAATGTCCATCACCTGTGCATAGAGGCCCAATTGGTCATTAAAATATAAACAATCACAAAGTTTTCAGGTAGTCATGACTCAAGACAACAACCATTAATTGTACCTCAGAGTAGTGCTTCTCAATCTCCATTTCAACATCAAGACCCGTAAACTCACACAAATGCCTGTGAGTGTAGGAATCCTCAGCTCTATAAACAGCACCGATCTCGAAAACCCGATCAAAATCACCACAGATTGACATTTGCTTGTGAAGTTGAGGAGACTGGGCCAGACATGCAGGTTGCCCTTTGTAGTCAAGTTTAAAAACAGCAGAACCACCTTCACTAGAGCCTGCTATCAGTTTTGGGGTGTGGATTTCAACAAAATCCTCTGATAGCAAGAACTGCCTAAATATCTGCAGAACTTTTCAACTTGTTTGAGAAGCCATTTACAAGTTTAGCACTAAGATTCAAGTGGGAAAGGAAGCAAATAATAATAAGCTTCAACAATTAGAGACCACATAAACTATGGTGGATGAAAATCAACAATCACATAGTGAAACCACTCTCATAGTTCAACCTGAAGATCTTAACAGTTGATCGAAATGCATTTCAAAGCATATCCAGACCCATTAAATTAAAAATGTTGTAGACGCAATAGCATGCAGCAATTTTTGTAATCATACAGTATTAAAAAAGAAAATGTCATAAGATTAGCAAAGACTCAAAGACTGACATTTCCAACTTGGCTTTGGATGCGGAAAATCCCTTGATTAGCAGGGGTTCGAATATCAATAACTCTGAAGTTCAAACGTGTATCCTGATTGACACGAGGAAGTTGCTCTCCAGCCTGCAGTAGAAAAAATGATAATATGGTTGAGAATATTACAATGTATATAAAATATATTGCATACCAAAATAAAAAGGCGTGAATGCAAAGGGTATATAACATACTTGCAAAGCATTTTCAATTTCAACATCACTTCGAGCAGCATCCTCAATATTAATGGGTAAGTTAGGCATGGCTTTATTCACACAATATAATTTTCTAACTTGAATTTCGACCTGAAACAATTAAAAAAGAGGTGACTGATGGATACTTGATATTATTGAAAAAAAAAAGAAAGCAAGGCTTTATTACTATAGAAGAAGGTACTACTACTACCTGCTGGGTGGTTCCCTTGATGGGATTCCCAGGGACAGATACCACACCGATTACGTCTACGATGGACTCTCGGTTAAGTCCAGCTACAAACTTCACCATTTGTCGACTCACTCCCATTGATTGCGTAGCAGCCAAGCACTGGACAGTGAATCCCTTCTTCCTGACGACCAGGAAGGCCATATTTTTCCCCACCGGTCGTATTGTGTGGGCTCGCCCCCGTATTAGCACCTCCTTGTCCTTCAACTCCTGGGTAAGGGCTCCAACTTGAGTCCTAACCACTGATGCAACGGCTCGGCTCCAATTGCCAGCATCGGCTTGGGAGCAGGACTTGAGCTCGGGGAGAGGGACGTCGCCATAGTTGGAGGAATGGAGGTCCTCCTCGTCAACGGAGAGGGAAGAAGCCGAGGAGGCCAGGGAAGCAGCTTCCTGTCGGCGACGCAACTTCTCAAGCTTAGCAGCTTCCTTTTTGGCAGCTTTCTTGCTCAAGTTGGGCTCTTCCGCTTCGGATGACATGATGATGATAGAGAAAAGAAGCTGGGCGGTGGTGGGGATGGCGGAGCAGACGGCAGAGTTAGAGAGAGGGAAGGATGAGGAAGAGAGGGGAGAAAAGAAAGATTTTATATGGTTAGGGTTGTAAATTAGATTAGTCAGCAGGGGCCATTTAGTCCTAAAAATGCTAATCCGTCGAGGAGTAAGCTTTCTCTGAAAGGCGATTAAAAAATGAATTTAACATTTGAAATTCGTTAATTATCCAATCAAAGAAATGATAAGATACCCAGTTTTAAAAATAAAAATGATTAAAAGAAACTGGGGGCTTTCAAGTGGGTTACGTCTTTTCCTTTTTTAATTAAGAAATAAAAAATCTCAAGTTCCAATTTATTTTTATAGAATTTGAATAAAACCTAACAAAAACCCAGAAGGAAATGTTAAGTAGAATGTCCTAGCAGGAGCGGTCACTTGCCCCGCCTGGATCACACTCATGAGGACCCAATTCAAAGAAAATAATCAGCACGCAGAAATAGCTATTGATACAAATACCATGCACCACTGAACATCTGCTCATAAACATAAATGAAAAATAACAAGTTTACCCAATTGAGAACCTGCATTTAAACAATCAAAGAGTAACAGATATGCCAGGCCCCATATATATAGCTACACAGGGTAACCACATCAATGATCCCCTTCACTACTACAACTACAACACCACTAGTCCAAGTACAGTTGACACCAAAATCCAGAAACCACCAGTCTCAATAGTTACCTTCTCCTATCTCCAACTTAAAGGGACAAAAAAAAAAGTAAAAATACTGATACATACATGAACTTATATGTAAATTCTTACTGCTCCTGTTTTTCCTTTCCATTTTCATTTATATCCTCTTTTCCTTTATCTTCTGTTCTTCACTCTCCTATTCTGGATCAGTCGATTGTCATTGGTTGAGTCATGCAACACCTGAAGCGGGCCTTACGAACAGTTGTCATTATCTCATTTTCAGCATTCTCAAGCATCTTCACAATCTCAGTGAAGGGAGGACGAACTTCTGGGTTAGTGTCCCAGCAACGTGTCATGATCTCACTCAGCACAGGGAGACAATCATTTGGAATGACCGGCCTTACACCCTTGTTCACCACCGCAAATGCTGCCTGCACCGCAGTCATGTTCTGGAAGGGAAGTAAGCCAGTGATAAGCTCCCAAAGTACAATTCCAAAACTATACACATCTACTTTTTGCGTGTAGGGCCGATGTTGTATCATCTCTCTGAAACAGCAAACACAAGCACGGAATCACAACCAACAGTATTTCTAACATAAAATAAGAACAAAACCAAACAATACACTTAACAGATAGACAATATGGATACCAAAGTCAAATGGTCAGCATATTAATGCAGTTTCACGGAGAAGAAAATTCAGTGACAACTAATGATAAACTAAATGCCAAAACAAGTGCACCAGTGAGCACCACCATGTCGTTATACGTATGATGCAAATCAGTTTCCAATACTCCATTTGAAACAGGAAAACAATTCTACTAGAAACATTCAAGAAACATGGCAAGCAGAGAGTCACAAGTTGCACTGATGCAATGCTCTCAACTAGTTTCTCTAACAGTAGGGAACCACTATAGCAGTGCATACTAAGTCACGCACACAACGAAGAGGAATAACAAATAAACAATTTCATGCCTCAACCTGTTCTATTGACTATGGCTGCTAAATATACACCAATAAATCATGTCTGCACCTCAATCCTCCGAAAATTAGGCTCATAACTACACATGGATATTGACACAGCACAGAACATGAGCAATGCTCAAGAATTCCTCCACAAAAATCACCCTATCAGGACAAAATAATTTCAGACAAGCCATTAAGGCTTTCAATACACTATTAATTGAAGCAGTAAATTAATTGATCCCTTAAGGTAACCACAGGAATGGATTAACTCATGGTAAAATGCATCAAATGTCAAAGCTACCATGTCAAAAAGATTGATCCACCATAATTAGAGTCATTAGACAATTATTAAGATCAGAAAAACAATTGTGCAATATGAACACGAGTAAGCCTCTAGCTTCCTACAGATGGCAAACAGTACAACTTTAAGACACTTCGAATTTGATAGGAGCCACGTATCTTATATATGGTAGAACGTATCTTGACATGGCATTCTGCCTTATCAGATATAGTTATATCAACTGATAGATACACTTCTTGACTTCACATCAAAGCTGAATTCTGAAACCGATATTATTCATTCAAAACAACTACTTCAAACCAGTCAGAATTTAACCTCCTGCAAAGGTGTCAACAAAATTTCCCACCCTCCGCAACCAACAAGACCAAAGCAAATAGAAAAAATAATTCATAGTGAAATCTTAACATTGAAATACAACAATCATTTGACGAATCCTAGAAATGTAGTGCACATCAATTTACTTAAAAGGACCAAAAATATTATGGGTAACAATCCATGATACTTATTTTCAAAAAAAAAAAAAAACAATCCATGCTACTTTCTCATCTTCCCTAATTCAGGTTTTCACTCCATCCATATATCTAATGAACGCAAATAAAATATTTCCAATTAAGAGGGCCGCATAATCTTTTGTTAAAATTTTCATTAATTCTTCCACCACCCTACACCTACCATTTCCATTCTCAAAGATTCTATGGATACACTTTTTTTTTATTGCTAATTTCTATGGATACACATTTAATTGGGAAAACAACAACAATTTTGCTTGAAACTAATCCTCAACAGTTTCCAATCTTTCATAAGAGTGTTTTTGGAGGGATTTGATATTGCGGAAGGATTTTAAATTCTAAAAATTAAATCACATCATGTGGGTAAAAGATCGCAGAATTTTGGATAACCACATACCTGCTTCAAAACAAAGCCTTTTTTTTTTTTAACATTAAATTTCATTCAAGGTAAAATGGAAGTGCCCAAAAACACGAGCAAATCCATATCTGTACACAATCAGAATGTCTGCAAGAACCGTACAGGTTAGCAAAGCTTCAAAACAAAGCCTAAAGAGGTGTTATTTCAAATTATATTCTTCCTTCAACTAAAAAGCAAAATACTAAAACAAAGAAAAAGGAAAGAGAAACTCTCATATACTCAAGCTTTGTCGCCAAAAGTCAATTTTTTGTCAGCAATCTCATTGTTACCACAGCAAGTGATATCTTCTCCAACTCCTATCGACTCCAACAAGACCAAATTTTATGGTTTTCACTCTCCTCCCCCTACTCTACAGAGATCCCATCCTACACTCCACTTCTGGTGAGATTTCTTCCCTTCTTATGCTTCAAGATGCCATTTCCACTGCCAGTAAAGAACTAGTAATGGTAGCCACCTTTTTCTTCTTGTTCTACTCAATTATCTCACTGGTCATGCTTCAAGATTGGTCCTCTTTCAGCACAATTTTGAAAAAGAGAAAAAACTCAGTATATTTGAAGCTATCGGGAGGATGATTTGTTGATGGCCAAATGGCAAGTTTCTGTTTATATCATATAACCCAGGAACAATATTTCAATTTGTGGAATACTAAACTAAACCACACATTTTCAATTCTATCATTTTCAATTGCTGCATTTTGGATTGCCTCATTTTAAAATGCTGTAGAAATTGTCAAATACTCTATCCGAAGATAACCTAAGAAACTATTCTCAGTTTAAACCTAGGAAATTTCTTGGTAACACATACTTGCATGCAATCTCCCTATTTGTGCATGCTGCAGAGTAGGTCATCACTAAGTGCATTGAATAACTTGTTCATCTTCCTCTTTGTAGCCCCTTGCTTCAACACAACTTAGGCCATTATTAAGTACATTGATTCACCTTTTTGTCTTCCACCCTGTAATGCCTTGCCTCAACTTAATGTGACAAAATAGTAACCTCCCCTAATTAAAACAATAATGAAACCTCCCAACCATGAATAGACCTCTATATGCTATAAATTAATAACGTCATAGCATAAAAAAGCAAAAACTTGAAAAGCTACATCTGTCTTGCATGGCAAAGCAGAATCGTCTGATTGTAAAGCAGAAACATAAGACACCCGGAAACGCACTCACTTTGGCCATCCAGCCTTCATTATAAATTAAACTAAAAACAAAACACAACTCTTAACCCATCTGTTTCTCTGCATCACAATTATACAATGTGTAAAGGCTGCAAACAACATTAAAGTAGATAAGAGGGAAAACACATAGCCTAGGACAGGGCTTGAAAAAAATGAGTGAGAGATCTTTTGGCCCTCATGAACTGGTTTGTTCCTATGCATGGGACAGGAAAATTCCAATGCTTGGCAATTAGCCTCTTTGGAACAGAACCATATTAAATTTAGAGAGACAAGACACATATACAAACTGTCTATCAGTGCAACCTCAGTGCTGTACAATAAAATATTGCAAACAACAACCTATGAACTCAAAATAATCTCCAGGGAGATTTTGCAACTCCTCTCTTGCTCTGACGCAGCCAATATGGTATAGGTGGCGTTGCCAACAACTAGTCAGTGAGCCATATGAAAGCCTACTTCAAGGACTGGACACTATTCTAAATAGATAGTTATATAGTTATATAGTTTTATTAATTTAGAAACAAATTAATGGGTATGTATGACAGCATTCCGGAGAGTAAGGCACAAATGCATCAAATAACTTTGAATACACCAAAAGTAAGTAGGAATATAATGCGTGAAAGAATACTATATTCCTATGGAAACATGTGGCTTTAAAATGCACCCAAACATGAATAGGAACCACATCTCAGGACAGAAGACCCATTCTCTCACCTACCATAGCTAAAACAAACCAAGCATCCACAAATATGGAGAAAGGACATGATTTACAGAAAATAGTGGTATTAGATGAAAACAAACTATGAACAACCTCCGTTTGCTTGCAAACACAACATCAACCTCGCATATTACAATCCTATCACATTCAAATCTCAAAGTTTTAAAATTGAGTAACTATACTTTATTTTTAAGGACCTAAATTGATACATGCTTGATAGGTACTTTATTTATCTAATAACTACTAGATAGTAGCTACGTCTATTATTTTTCTTCAAAAAGAAGCATAATTCATTTTAAGCTGCAAGACATCCAGATCCCCAAAATTCACACTACTGTTAGAGAGAGAGAGGGTGAGGCATCAAAAAATTAATCGTTTAAGATGATAAATGCACATTCCCCAGTAACCTACCCCAAACACTTCTAGATAGACAACAATTATGTAAAATTATTTAAACCTCAAAATGTTCCAGCCAAAAACAGAGAACTCAAATATTCTAAATCAAATCACAGTCATGAAGGCAGCGCTTTACTTCAAATTATCAAACAAAAGCATCAGCCATTTTAGAAGGTAGCTGCTAGTCAGCACGAAGGGGGTTAGAGAATAGCATAATCATATTCAGAATTCAGATAAAGAGGTAGAACAGTTTTACAATTTAGTTCACATTTTTAAAACAAAAACTAAAAGAATATATAAACTAAAAGCTCAGAAGATGGAAACAGAAAATGGCAGAACCTTACTCCGCAGGAGTTACCCCTTAACATAACTCACAACAGAAGAATATAAAGACAATCTACAAACAGATGAAGTTAATTAAACAAAGGAGTATGAAATCTAATCCGGAAGGTATGCACAACCTTAAGGTTTTTCTTTTAAGAAAAAAGCTGGAGAGTTCATGCCAACTAGCAAGAATCATCTAAAAAAGATGAAAAAAACTGTCATATTGTAACAGGGAAGAAACTGTAACATATAATAGTCTAAAGACTTACGGAGCCATCCAACGGTATGTCCCTGTCTCTGGTGTCATACCCTCAGTCTGCACCTCAATACGTGCAACACCAAAATCTGCAATCTTTATTGATTTATCAGCGGCTATTAGAAGGTTATCAGACTTCAAATCCCTGTGAATAAACCCAAGCCCATGAACATAGGCCATCCCTCTTGCAACATCCAATGCCTGCTTAACTGCCAATTTCAATGGCACGGCACGATTCTGCCTCCTTGTTAGAAACTGTCGAACTGAGCCTCCCTTTGCATACTCTGTCACAATGCACCATACCATTGGCTTACGACATGCCCCAATAAATCGCACAATATTTGGATGCTTCAGTGTTGCAAGCATCATAACTTCCTGCTGAAACTGCTGCTCCATAACTTGTGCCTTCTCTGGGCTATTCTCTGGCCTTTCCAATATCTTAATCGCAACATCCTCACCATTATATGTACCTCTGTATAACTTCCCAAAAGCTCCTTGAGCAAAAGCTGTACCCATATTAAGTTTTCTTAAATCAATAGTCCACTCATCATAATTCTCCAAACCCTCAGTTGGATACCTACTATCCATCAATGCTTGTGCTAATGCATCATCATTAAGTGCATGGCCAACCTTACCAGGACGAAACACACTCTGACCCACAGAGACAGAGTAATTGTGGCGGTTCACAGGCTTTAGACCAGGGTGGCTTAAAATGTGGGTTAGAGAATCATTAGAGCCCACACTACTGTTTTCAACTGACATGGACACAGACCCACCAGCATTACTTGTCTGTAAACTGTCGATAGACATGTTTGTGCCCTCACCAAGTTTTTGGTAAAACCCTTGAGTAAAATCAAAGTAATTGTTATCATTGTTGTTGGTTCCTCCCATAAGTCCAGTAAATTTAGGCCCCTCGACCATTTTCCCAATCATGAATGAAACTCCAAAAGTTAAACTCAGGATAAGCAGTTCTCCTTAGCCCAAACTCTTGACACTCATTTGATGGTGCAATCTCTTTAGTATATGTCCTAAAACCAACAAAAATGAAAGCTTGTGAGTTACAACCTGACAGTAAGTGCTAAAGATTATAGGCAAGCACTTCTTGGGTTTTAGAACGTCACTTGTGCTTAATTTATTGGGTAAAGGAATTCAAGAGAAAGACAGAAATCAAGAAGTGCCAGATAAAGTGTCCCTCAGCAAGCAAAGGGAGGTAAGTGGATGTCCGTAAATGCAGAGAGAGAAGTAATTTTACAGGGAGAAGATAATTTGGGAAGCAGTGTCCAAATATCCAGGTCCTTGCATTTTTCTTTATATATATATAACGGATTTTCAAAAGGTGAAAATAGCTAGCTTTTGTTTCCAGTTTTGAAACGATTGTTCATATGTTTGCTCTTAAAAGAACCGAATGAAGAAATAAGACAAACCTTAATCAGGTTACGGGAAGTGAAAAGCTATGGAGGTGCTCGCAAACCCTAGAAACGCAATTATTTCGATCCCAGATTGTTTAAGCTGAATCGGAAGCCGTAAGCCAAAATATTCGTTCAAGAAACAGTCAAACCCTCAAAGCTTCAGTGTTAGCTGAGATTGAAATGCAGAAAATGCAAAGCACTAGACTTTTAGATAAAAATTCTATTTCCATACGTACAAAAACAAAGGTTCGAATTTTAACTTGGAAATGTAAAAAAAAAAAATGCCCTAAAGCCCCTATGTCCTTAGAACAACTTTACAGAGTGAAGCAGAACAAAAACGATTCAGCTACAAATATTCGACCAACAAAACACAAATTGAAAATAAAAAATCTTAATTTTTCATTTTTCATTTCAAGTTCCAAATCTTTCCCAATCAAAACATACCAATTTCTTTTAAAGGAAAAAAATAATTAAAGAATAACAAATTCCATCATAAATCAACCAACTTCAAGCATAGATCAGATTATCAAAACACGCTGAAAATCAAAGGAAGCGTAGAAAACTGCAGAAAAGCAGCAAAAACTTTAGCCTGAGAAGTGATCAAGAGAGCGGATTCAGAGGGGGAAAATATATCGAATGCATACCTGAGATATATTACAAGGACAAGAAGTGGACGAAATTTGGATAAAGACTGATCGAGATACTTAATGAAAAATTCATCGAATGCGTCCCGCAAAAAGGAGAAGACCTTCCAAAAAGGAGAAGAAGACGAGCAAAAGATTTAGAAATAAGAAAGAAGAGCGGAAGAGAGAGACGGAAAAAAAATAACACCAACAAGAAGGAAGAGGAGGAAGAGGAAGAAGAGAGGAGCAGTCTACGCTTCTCATTTACTGGCAAAGCCTCGTTTTTATTGTGACCAGACCCAGTACCACTCGCTACTATTCTGCACTTTTTCACTCGCTCTATTTCCTATACACGTGTCGACAAAGTTTGGCTTGCTTTGCTTTTTCGAGGCCCTCCATCCCGTAATAGCGCGCGTGTGATCCCTTCACTTTCCTTGTTCTTTTTCATTAAAAAATTTTTTCCAATTATTTTATCAACAGTGTAGGACACATCTACGCCTTTAATAAGACTTGTCCATATATAATTTTTTAATTATAATTACTTTAGTAAAGTATTTGGTTCATTCTAAACACATTTCCCATCAGTTGCTAAATCAAATCCTTGGACATTTACCAGCTCAGAGTAGCCTGTTTCAACGAGTCTTAACATCACAAATTACAATCACCATGAATTGGTGTGCTCTAGTACTAGCACTGCTGCCCGAGCTTATTTACAATAACAATCATCCTTTTTTCACAATCATTCAAACACTTTAAAACTCGGCACTCTGTGTACCGCATAGTCCTATGATTTCCCTAATAACCAGTATTGGTATGCCAAAACAAGTGGTGACAAAAGAAACAACAAACGGAGAAAAACCACCATATTTCTTATTTACAGGAGCTTTTATATCCCCTACAACGCTATATTCCAGGGATTTCCCAAGGATCTGCACCTTCACAACCTCTTATGAAGTCTCTACCCATGAATGTTTCTGAAGCAAGTTAACCTGAAAGCTGTTGTACGGAGGACGTAACTCCTCGTTCAACAGTTGCTGGAACTGACGGTTCTGATAAGGCTAACACAGATGAGAGCCGGGATAATATTGTCTGCTCTGAATAGTCTTGCAGTTAAGGTGAGAAACTGCAGCAGCTGCATCCACCTTCCTTCAGACCTGCATTGCATTAACATCATTCATTCAACAAACAACACCCAGATCTTCATCAGTCCTGAAAAGAATAAAAACAGAAACTAGACCATATATTCCCAAATTCCACAGCCATATCTGCTACGTCTGTCGAGGGTTTATATGCTTCTCCCCAATGCATTACTCACCCCTTTCTGCAACAACATATTTAGTGTATGAGGATGGAGACAGCCGACAAATAGTTAATTTGATTCCCAACCTAAATTATACCTCAACAATTTTTGCCTAGCCAGCCTGAAAAACTGACGAATTACAAACATACCCAAGGCATGCTGCCGCTAACTCCCTTGCCGTTGGTTTAGGCTACTGAAGGAAATCAAGGATTGGAAGTTCATAGAAGAAAGATACTAGTACTACCAATTATTTATCCCTACTGCAACTGATCATTTGGCTCAACAGTAAGGGTATATATCTCCCTGCCCAAAACAGTTTAAGTTGGAATCCCCCCCTTCCCTCAGATTTGTACTTGACCAAAATGAATTTATTTGTCCCTATTAATGTTCTAATTCCTAAAAAGCATGAGATATTTTCCCAGGACTGATTCTTAAACCGATTATGATGTTGCTGATAGTTAATATTCTTTCTTACCACTGTGCTATATTCTAAATTGAACCAGATCTATATCACTAATCTCTAACCATTATTTTACTTATTTTCCCCACAAACACTTATCAGCTATCCAACGTTTACCAATCATCCTAGACCAGTCACTTATATCAAGCATCCTTCAAAAATTTAAGGCAGCAACTAGAAAGCTGCAGTGATTCTTTCAAAATGCCTCTTCTCTATCCGCGAGCTTTCATTAATTCTATGTTTCGATCCTTCATGTACTATGCCGGAGGATGGCAGGAAAATTAGAACTGGCAAACCTTGGACATGGGCATGGATCTCATGATGATTTTGTAAAAGAGTATCAGAAAACATAATTATCCAGCGTCATATGGTTTTCAAGATAGCAACTTCAATCAAGTCAATCTAAATAAAAGCTTGGACCTTTGTGCAAATCACTTCAGCCAACCAACCAACCTACACCCCTCCAGAAAAGGAAGCTTGGACCTTTGTGCGAACCATTTCATCCAATCAACCAACAACCCTACACCTTACATCTTCAGGCATTATCAAGTAATCTCCCAGCCCCAGAGACAAATAATTACCTTCACAATTCTCGAGACAAATGTAGCTCCACACAAAGTAATTGCCTTGTCAACAGACTCCTTGCTAGCAGAAGTAATGTACGCAGACCTTAAAAGAGGAAAATTTAACATGCAATTAGCACATCTAGCACATTATTGACCAGGAATAAAAAAGATTTTCCTTTTAGTGCTAAAACTGGTTAGCTGAATTAAGAATGTACCCTTTTGGCCGGCCAGTTACTTTGTCAGTTAAAATCACCACATTCTCAACCACCCCACATTTGGCAAATACAATGATAAAGCTTCCTTAGTTGCACCAAATGCACCTGACAGGTTAATATTCTGTTAGAGGTAAAAATCATAAGTGAGAACAAGTACTACTTTGCTGAGTTGTGCTGACCACTTCACTTGAGGTTGAACTCCAACACATAACTGAGATTGCTACTGTCTAATCTTAATATTACGGTACCAGAATGTGAGAGTTAATACATCCAAGAAATTACACCTCATATGAAAGTTACCATAGCAGAATGTGATAGCAATAAATTTGTTTTTCTATCTTCCTCCTTTCCTTCCCGCTTTGTCCAAAGCTTTTAAGATTTTTGTTTCAATTTGGAGCAATCTTTGTTTCAAATCCAGTACTTCCTGAAAAAGATCCTATGCTTCAACAAAAACTCAACTAGAGTCCTGGCTAACAACGATTCTATACTATCTTGCAGAAGGAAAAAGATATTCAACTGTTTATCTAAAGCTGCTTCTCACAGCTTGTGCAGGTATGCTGTTTTTAAATTTCATGATAAAGAATACGCAGGCAAAGAACAGAGGGAAAATAAATTTGTAGTAGTTTTTGAATCCTTGGTGCCCAAGTTTAGTTTCTTCAAATCCTGCAAAGTGGCTTTGTGTTCAATATCTATGTTCCTCTCATTAGCTGAAGAAACTGCACAAATTGCATGGCCAGTGCTAATTTCACCAAAATACTTATTCTTACTGGCTCCTCCTCCTGGCACAAGATGCTTTTATATATGCTAGTCAAGCACTTTTCGCTCCCTAATGCCAGCATCATGCAGCTTAGCGTTGCCGCTCACAGATAATTCATCACACAGTTTGCCCAGTCTACCCCAAACACTACCCCTTGGTTTTACATCCTGGTGAGGCACTGCACAAACATGTCTTGGAAAAGAACAACTTGCAGAAGCATTTGTAGTACATATTGATTTCGAAGAAGGGTAGTCTGCATGAAGAAATGAACACACATGATACATCATCGGTTCACAGGAGTGAAACATTATGAGCATACATCAGCCATAATTTAAGGTGTCCAAAACATTTCTGACATTGAATGCAGGTACCTGATATTGGGGATTGCAAATTTCTGGAAACTGAACCTTTCACAAGCCATGGAAATTGTTGTGGGCAATCTACTCTCCAGCATCATTAGTGGCAGTTGCAGCAGCTCTATTCTGATTTGGGCATGGCTGGGGCTGGGAGTAGAACGACAACTTGTAGGTGTTGGGTATTAGGGTGTTAAAAACGCTGAGGAGATGCGAAATCATTGGAAAGCTGGGGATGAGTGTCGTTATCATTGGACTGTCAGGGCCAGGGGCAACTACATTAAATACTGGATCCCAAAGGAAAACAGAGGAAAGCCATTGGAATGCAAGAATAAGAGTTTAAAATACCAGCAAGGTGTTAGCATCTCTGATACACTGTCACATATTGAATGCTTGTGTTGAAAAGTTTTTGATGAGCATGTCTAGACAGGAAATCCTACAACCTACAAATACAAAACTTGGGAGTTGTGAAAATTAAGCAATGACAGAATGATCTCAAATAATTAATTGAAGCCAGGGCCTGTGAGGGAGGAAGAGAGTACCAAGAAACGAATTCAGCAGTCTTAATCACCTAGAAATGCGTCAAGGTCATCTCTAGCCCGATATTGATGCTTTCCATTGCAAACAAGAACGGTGATACAATCTTCTGATAATATTATGAAACAAGAAGAAGAATAAAGAATGAAGAATGAAGAATAGATTGAAATGCATCTGACGATGTCTATATGTATTGACAGAAGGTGTAGAAAGTATAGACAAATCTGAAGAAAGGGATGCTGAAGTAGGTCGCATAGCCAGGACGTCATCGTAATAGTCGCCAAAGGAGCTGCATGGAAATGGAAGATTTGAGCAGTGGCGATTTCCTATGGATTCTGACCTCCACCGCAGTCACCATTACCATTGCTTGCCCTTCTCTTCTCCTCCTCGCCTCTATACTAGTACTAGTCTATTCTATTCTATTTGGGCATCAAGAGGAAATCCGTTTTCTTAATCAGGATATTGATTGTTTACTAACAAGTAACAAGACTAGACCAATAATTAGAAGTCGTAAACAGGCAGAAAAGAAAGACAGAAATTCATTTCTTAAACCCCTTAACTGCTAAGGCCTCTGCTCCAACTTATTCGACATTAGCATTACAGAGACTCCACAATCGTTGAGCCCTGAAAACCAAAAGAAAGTGACTCCCATAATAATAACATAGTTAACAGCCCAAATGCCAAAATAGGCTTTGGCGAGTGCATTGAATTTACTCCACCTTTCAGCCCACACCACCCAACTACTAATGGGTCTCATCCGGTTGGCACTGGCAGGGCAATGGCATTGGCATGTAGCACCCAACCCTCAACTGTCAACCATCATACACCTGGACCAAAACAACTAAAAAATTGGCTCTCCTCCGCCCTTGCACGGAGCCATATCCACCCTTCCTCCCACCCTCTTACTGGTATTTCTAACCAAAAAGTAACTAACAAATTAGGCAAAATAAAAAAAATGATAATAATAATAATAATAATAACCCTTGAAACAATAATTACAAGCATTTCGACTATTTCTAAATGCATTGTGACCAACATTTCTGCCTATCACA